ATATATAATGTATATGTAATCAATAAAGGCAGCATATAAACATACACATATATAACAACATCCCAAATAACCCATATCATTGTACCATGCCTGGATGATCGTCATACTCGAATCCGGGAGACAGCAAAGTACTGTAATAGTAGTGAACGATAGAAGAATATTGTTGTCATATTTTGTGGTGAGTATTTGTGTATATTGTGATATATATATATTTACATCGCTACTCAGTGATAATCATGTGGTTTATCTAAGTCAACGGAGCAGGATTTAATGCCACACAAGTCACTAGTTGTTAGAATAAGGTTTATTTTTTCGTACATTTTATGTTTACAATTTGTATTAAACTATTTTATAATACACCTGGAATTATATATTATTTTGGGAGACATTAATTCACATATAAAAGTGTCACGGAAGCTGGGCATCTGGTTAAAACTCACGTAACGTGAGTCAAATCTGTAGCCGGTACTTGTTAAAACATGTGGTTTCAATCATTATGTGACTGACAGGTGTAGCCGTTGAAGTAGACAGCCTTGACGTTGTCGCTGCAGATGGTTGGCCGCATCTTCATCTGCAGCCAGGGACCAAGCATTGGAACCTTTTTGTTGTAATTCTTGTGGGTACAGGTGGTATTGAGTTGGCCCAAAGGTGTGTAGGGGATTGTGGGGTCAAGGTTGCCGCAGTTATTGTACCACCACCCACCCTTACTCTCCTGGGCGCAGTTCTTGCCTGTGGTGGCAGGAAGGAAAAATGTCAGTTGGAGTAGATGACTTTGAACATCAAGGAATACTGAGATTTGATTGATTTTAATAAGTATCGTTTAGATGCGGACGAACCATCAGCATAAATTAAATGAAAGGGAAAACCCGTCCTCTCATCACAATTCGTTTCAACTATACACACACTCATTACTGAATTGAATTGAACTGAAACAGTTTTTTAGCCAGATAAACACAGATACAGAGCGGATAATAATAACAATATTAACATGGCTGAGCCAGTTGAGAAACTGAGCTCTCTTTTGTGTGAAATATAACAGAGTCTAGGACTGCTTTTAGTATCCTGGTGGTCCAGAGTTAGCGTTCCCCAGTCACAGTCATGGGCTCGTGGGCCGTGGTTCGAATCCTGGCGGGTTGAGGTGCTGATTGTATGTAGAAGTCCGCGTGCTTTATTGGGCTAATGAAATATATATGGATCCTCGTGTTTCAAAGCCGGATTTGGTAAAACGTTACTCTGACCACCTACGTGATACGGGTAGTCCCCATTAGAGGTTTATGGCGCCATAAGCTCGTTGAACAAGCTTTGTGTGAAATACAACAGAGTCTAGAACTGCTTTTAGTATATTGTTGGTCCAGAGGTAGCGTTCCACCGTCACAGTCAAGGGCTCGTGGGCCGTGGGTTCGAATCCTGGCGGGTTGAGGTGTTGATTATTTATATATATATATATATATATATATATATATATATATATATATATATATATATATATATATATATATATATATATATATATATATATATATATATATATATGTGTGTGTGTGTATACATAAATTACAGTGGAATTGAAAAACATAAGTATACTGGGGGAGCAGTACAACATGGGTTGTACAGTAATAAGGTTGAACAAGAGGACAGAGCTGTCAGGATTATGTCTAGTTGGCAATTATGTTTATTACAATGGTAATTACTTATCTATTTACATGATAATTTCCGATAAAACGGTTTTGATAGTACAATAAAAGCAGGTACTATAAATATAGTAGGTGATACAAGAAATATTAATACTTAGACAATAGATATTTTTTAAGAGATGATTTAAAGGAAGGGAGAGTAGTCTTTGCTTGGATGGGTGGGGGTAAATTGTTCCACACAGTGATATTTTATGGAGGTCTGAGACTGAGAGTAGCGCATGGGGGGTGGTCTTAGTAGCTCTGGGTGCCTTAAGTTGAATCTCTGATTATTCCGGAACTGGAAATAATTATTATCAAGCAACTTATTGATAGATTTGTAAACAAAGAGGGCACAGCAGTAGGTGTTAATATTTTCAAATTTTGAAATTTTCAATATAGCAAATTTTTCGTTTGTGTGATCTGTTTATTTCAAGTTGGTCATTGTGCGCACAACTCTCTTTTGAGCAGTAACCAGTGATTGTGTTTTTGAAGAGCCAGAGGCCCCCCCCCATAGTGTGTGACAGTGTATCAGGTGTTGGTAAACAAGATCATGATAGATTTCTTTCATTGCTGTGAGAGTGAGTGACTGTCGAGTGTGATATCATACGTTTATTATGCATCGACCACGTAAATGGTATTTCATGCAAGTCTTCAAAACATGTGGCATTTTTTTTTCTTCAACAGACCAGTGTCAGGATGGTGGCAAACTTTTTCGTTTAGAAGCGTATTATCAAAGTCTAAACCAAGTCTACAGTACTCACACGAACTATCAGTGTAAAAGCAATTAAGTAATCATAGGCATATGGGCTAGCTGTTTACTGGAGGGGGGAGGGGTGCAGCAGGAATACAAGAATGAAATAAAATAGTTTAAGAAAATAATAACAAATTTTAATGATTATAATTATCATGATTCTCTCTCCCCGAGCTATTACAGTAAATCAGTGAATTCAAGTATATATGTGTAGAGCTTTTTAATTTATCAATATAGCCACTAGATAGATTACAGGTGGCTAGGCTATATTACAGTTTCAAGCAACATCCGGTTTCCTGGTCGAAAGTTTGACTTCAGGGAATTTGAATTTAAACCTGCCAACAATAAAATCCACTTTCTTCTATGCTTTTTGTGCTTAGGAAATCGATGAAATATCAAACTTTTATCATGTGGAGCATTTATCAGGCATTGTCATAGACCTTCACACCATGACGCGTCGGCCAGCTGGTAACTGAGGTCCCACCCCGGACCACACCTCTGGGCTGCCAGCCAGATGACGTCATGTGCAGTGATGGACGAATTTTCGACTCGAAGTGAGTTGACTTGATATAATTAAACTTTGGGTATTATATGGCTCCAGACTATTGTAAACACACTAGTAGTACGGTCAAAACCTAGTCATTCCATTTACATTTTGGTTTGAATTTGAATTTAACTTCAGATAGGATACCTTTTATTTTTTAATGTTAATTTTACTTTTAACAAACTCAATCTAGTTTCTGGGGGCGCCGGTGGTAGAACGGTACCGCCCTTGCCTCGCAAGCGAGATGTCACGGGTTCGATTTCCGGGCCGGTGGAAAAAGTTGTTTGGACATGTTTCCTTGCCCCTTGGTCCCTGTTCACCTAGCAGTAATGTAGGTACGTGTTGTAAATCGAAAGTTGCGAATTCGTATTCAGGGAAAGTTGTTGGAGCTTCCAATAACTTGATGACAAAAACCATTGACTCTTCAGGCTTCTACACCCATGACGACAAAAAAAAAACGATGACCCTTCAGGCTTCTACGCCCTTAACTCATGAGACGTAAAGGCAAGCATGAACTTAGCATGCTTCCCTGTTGGGCACTGTAAACGCTTCTGTGCTTCACCTTACACAGGATGTAGGGGGGTGCCCAAAAAAAAAAATTAGTTTCTTATAATTTAATATTAATTTTCTTTCTCAATGAAAAGCAACCTGCTCCATATGATCATATTTTAAATTTTTTCAGGTTTTGTAATCCCCAGTTCTTTTGGTATATATTATTCTATTTGTTTTGACAATTTTATTTTTGTTTTGCTATTATAAACAAATTATATCGATAGCTGCTTTTGTGCCAAAAACTCTCACACACAAGACAATCAAGGCTAAAAATTCAGTGACTCAACCTTCGGTTGGAGATTCCAACAGCACACAGTATTTTTATAACATGGATTGATATCCTTAGGTATTTTTTCAACATGGTTAGACCACACCCTGTAGGACTCGGCGGATGTGGCCGAGCGTTGTATTAGCCCCAGTGTGTCTGTGTGTGTGTGTGACATAAGGAAGAGAACATAAAATCATAAATAGAGGGACTGACCTGAGCTACCGTCGTTATCGTAGTCATATGTGGAGAAATAACGGCCGTTACTGAGGGAGAAGCAGTGGTCGATCGTGCTCAACCCATTGTATGAGGGAACCTCCAGTTGGTACCTGTTGAGACAAGGTGGCCCAGGTTAGAGTCACCGTGAGATGTTCATTGCCAAGGAAAATAATTAGCACCTTGAAAACTTAAGCTGCATGAACCATGTGAACATTTGTGTGTAACTTACATGATATGAATTTTTGTTAACATTAACATTAATTGTTCTTTTCCTGTAAAAAATACTTATTTCTAAGGTCATGTTAATTTAACACCAAGAGAATTAATATTAAATCTTAATACTTTAATATTTTGTATGTTTTCATGTAGAAATAGTGATATTCAGTGAATTATCTGTGTTCACTTCACGCTAATAACATATTAATTCTTGTAGCGTTATCTCAGTTTGTTTTACGCCAAGAAAATGATCGTTACTAAAGCATCACTTATATCGGGTCTAGAAAACTGGACATTTTGAATTCGCTGTAACGAATGTATGATCTTCGTAAGGCTAATTAATATCCTAGAATTTCTCAATATGAAATACTCAGTAAATTATCTTCATATTAAACAAAGAATTACTTCTACAGACCACTAAAAATTGTGTTTCTTATCACTAGTTTGTTTAAGAAGACTCACTCTATAACAAGGGAGTTAATACTGCAGTTGTGACTTGTAAACTGAACAGTGTATCAAAAGCACAGTTTACGTCATGTGGGCAAATTTAGATAATATGGCCCATTGAATTTGAAACTGAAGTACTTAATGTTTTCTCGAATCAATAAAAAGGAAATACTGCTTTCCTCAGCCCAGATTCACAAAGATTCCGACAAGGATTATTCCTCGTAACTGAAGATGTAAGAATGGACTCTGTAACAGTGTAACATACTACACATTTTCCTAACGTAGAAAGGCTCCTGGTAGGTTCCTTAGTAGTTGTCTGTCAGTTTGGTGGAGGATCACAGGATCATAGCGGCGAGCTAACTACCAGCACCATTACTCAGGCGTCCACTTTATAACAAAATGCAAGATATTTTGAAAACGACTTTGTTCTCCGACTGATGCAAAGCGGATGTATCTACTGTAGGTTTAGTGAAAATTCACCTTCATACCATTAACCCAAGATAAAGAGAAGCTGTTCCAGAAGTAGAAAACTATCATTGATAATATTTAAACAGAGAGATATATAAGATAAGCAGATCACCGCTGAAGTAGTTTGTTGGTTCATAGGCAAATAAAGAGAAAGACTTAACGGGAGGACAAACAGGAGAGCGAGAAAGAGACAAAGGGGGCAGTTATTTTAAGACGGATACAGAGATGAACAGATGCTTGGATAAACCAACTGATGAACGCTGATTTGTAGGTTAGACGAAAATAAGAAAGACACAAAATAATAAGTAGATAGGAGTCAGAGAGACAGACAAAGGCAAGAGTATCTCACCTGCTGGCCTCGTTCTTCACTTTGAACTTATACCACTCGCCCCACTTGAGTTCACCCGTAATCAGCCGGAAGTCCATACGCAGGTTGTAGAATCGGGTGTTGGTCATGAGGTACAGCACCTCATTTCCTGTAAGGGTGAAGGTGGCATCACTTGGTACTCTCTTAAGCTGGTAGTCCCCAAAAGCCACAAACTATACCTACGACTTGTCTAAGTAACACCATGAAGCAAGTTTACACCACTACTTGTGTTAGGAGCTATAAGTAACACCGGGAAGCAAGTTAACACCCTCCCGCAGTACATGAACGCCTCCACACACTTAACATCTATGGACGGTCCTGCTACTCCCGTATCGGCCTCTCGAGTCACCTCAGAGTTCACTAACGGAAGTGACGTCTTTAATAACTCGTATTATTATATCATAAATGGATGATCGTCTTATTTAATTCCAAGTGACAGTAAAGTATGGGCCAATAGGTCCTCTGGACTTTCCTCCATTATTATGTTCTTATGGTTGGATGTGAGTAAGGCACTTGGACCAGACGGAATACCCCCTCGTATTCTAAGGGAGTGTGCTGAAGTTCTGGTCCCTGTGCTTGCTTGCCTTTTTCGCCTTTGCCTCAAAACCCAAACTTTTCTTTCTTCTTGGAAGCATGCCTCGGTTCAGCCCATCCCGAAGAAGAGTGACCATTCCAATCCCTCTAACTATCGACCCAGTGTCCTAACTTCATCCCTCTCTAAGATTTTCGTAACTATCTTAACTCTCATTTTCTCGGTCACCTTGAATGCCAATCTCTTTTGTCTGATCACCAGTAAGGCTTTCGCCAGGCGAGATCTACTGGTGATCTGCTCTCCTACTGCACCCATCTTTGGTCATACTTTTAGGGATTATGGGGAAACTTTCGTCGTGGTCCTCTACATCTCCAAAGCATTTGACATGGCACAAGTCTTTGCTTTCTAAACTTCCCTCTTATAGTTTCTCTCCTCCACTTTGTTCTCTAATTTCTAGCTTCCTTTAGAACCGATCCATGGCAGTTGTTGTCGAGAGGTTGATCTCTCGCTCTTTCTCTACCAATAGTGGTGTCCCACAGGGACCTGTTCTTTCACCTACTCTCTTCCTTCATTTAATCAATGATTTACTTCACACTACGACTAATTCTATCCATTCTTCCACTGATGATTCTACTCTTCACTCTTCATCACATTTTCTCCTTCCCCCTAATTCTCAAACTAGATCTATTTCTCGAGCTGATATCATTACAGCTATTAATGCGGTTTTGTGCAGCATCTCCGAATGGGGAGATAGAAACTTGGCTAAATTCAATAGTAATAAAACTCAGTATTTACCAATTACATTTTCCAAATTAGATGATCTCCCACCAATCACATTTCAGGACGCAAGCATTCCGCCAAATTCTAAAGTAGATATGCTCGGCGTCACCATATCCTCTAATATGTCATGGAAGCCACACATCCTCAACATTGCTAAAGCTGCCTCCCGAAAGCTGGGAATGCTGTACAGATGCCGTAGCTACTTCACTCTTGAGCAGTTGCTTCAAATATATAAGGGATTCATTCGTCCTAACTTGGAGTACTGCTCTCTTATCTGGGGTGGCTCGTCTTCTGTCCAACTGTTAGATAGGGTGGAATTAAAGGAATTTCGTCTTATTAACTCTCCCCTTTAGTTTATAATTTTCTTCCCTTTCTCTTCGCCGCAATGTTGTGTTACACTCTCTCTTTTACAGGTACTTTAACGGACATTATTCGGTGGATTTGTCATACTGTGTACCGCCGGCAAAGCCGCGGGCTCGTAACACTCCTCTGGCCCGCGGGCGAAATTTTATTTTCCTGAGAGCTTCCGAGATTTTGAACAAGCGGCACTTCGCAGTGTTTGAAGCGCGGCACCACTGTACAATCAGCTGGTGGCAGCAAGAATTCGTTCTATCTTGGCCGTGCTGGCTAGGTTAGGTTAGGTTATTATTTGTTTGTAATAGTATCTATTACGTTTGGATTAAGCCAAGCATGAATGATCTTCTCTTTTTCTCTGTTACTTACGGAGTGTACAGTGGAGCCGCGCTTCAAACACTGCGACGGTGCCCCTTGTCCAAAATGACGGAAGCCCTCAGAAAAAAAAAAAAAAAATTCGCGGCCCGCGGTGCCTGCCGTTTCTCTGTGGGTGTCGTTCACACTAGAATAACCCGTTATAGTATATCCTCTTTTCCTCACACAGCCAAACTGTAGAATGCTCTGCCTTCTTCTGTGTTTCCATACTCATACAATGTCTCACTTCAAAAAGCTGGTTTTCCGGCATCTTCGTGGTGTAGATTATTGTAATCTTTTTCTTTTCTATCTTTAAATTCTTTTTACTCTCATTTTTTCGCACCCTCAGCCCCGTTGTGGATCGATGACCTGCGCCTCGCTGGGCTATTCCCCGTAAAAAAAAAATGTGTGAAGCCCAGTGCTTCTCTCTGAGTGCCGTCACCCAAGGATGTACTGTATATAGTATATACACACACCCATATTCAGTACTTCCTTCAGCATTTTCTATCTAGTCTATCGTGTGGATTTCTCGATCCACAAAAGTCACAATAAATTGTTCACCTTTTATAAAACCTTTTCAGTCATGTTCTCTAAATTTGATCCACACATCATCATCGTCTTTATTTGCACCTGCATCTCTCTTCTTTAATACAGTCAGTTTTCCTTCCTGTGCAATTTGTCGACCATTCTATCCCTGTTTCACTTTTCATTCTTAACATTTTATCGGTAAATCCGTCTTCTTCATACGCCTCACTATCTTAAAGTTACTTATTCCTCATTTTTTTTGACATTATCCAATTACCCATTTCCTCAACAGGATAACTCCACCTCTTTCTCACATAATACATGCAGTAGTTGCTCGCAATATTCCCACAATCTTCCTTTTACGTCCACTTTTTCTGCACGATTTCTCATCTTCCATTCATAAATATCATATATTCAATGTCCTCCATAAACTAACAAACACACAACCTGACCCTGGAGGAGGATACGACGCGGCGCCCGATATACTCGTATACGGTACAAGGGTACATACCCAGCCAGTACTCCCCCGAGGCGTTCCCGAAGCCCTCACGGTAGTCATTCCAGGTACGGTTGAAGTTCTCCCTGTGTGTTTGGTTATTCCGGGCCAGAAACACCGTCCATCCGCCCCCTTCCGACTCCATGTCACACCACACCTTCACTGGCTTCGAGCACCGACAGCTGTTAATATATGGGAAGTTAGAATTTTTATTTACCTGTATATGTAGGTCTCAGAGACGACACCACCTGATAGATTGTCACCAAGAAATACAATGGAACTAAGATTTTAAACAATGTTCTATAAATATGTAAAGAAATTTATTCAACTCCAGTACTGCGTTGATGATAATTGATACGGGGACTACCAATACCTGTATTTAGATATACGAGTCAGTGCATAGAGACACCATAACTCTGTACCAGTACAGGTAAGGAATGGCTTAGAGACATCCTACTTACATATGGGAGGATCCAGGGCCCCACAACATGTTATCAGCAAGGAAACAAGAGCTAACTCAGAGCTGATAATTTATTGTCACAATGACATTTTGGTGACGTTGATGCATAAAGTATAGACAAACAGAATATCTTGACACACTATTGTTCACAATGTTATGTCTACATGACTCACGAGTTCACTACTCATGATGTTTGTTGGCTGCCCACCGTCGTGATGCGTGTCACAGAGTCCGGGTGTAAGGATGCTCTCCAGCTCACAGGTGCTCTACTATTGCATAACTTACATTCTTCCTTAATTTCAATCTGATTTTTATTTTATTTTATGTATAGAATCCGTCCCTGAAAAACATCGGCATTTGATAAGTTACAATAATTAAAGGGAACGTCCGTTTAGACACTTCACACACCGAACCCCAAGCCTAGGAGACGACAGTTTTAGGCACTATATAAGGTTGGGTGCCTTACTTTACACTTGGTTTGTAGTATGCGCACATTCTTAACGTTGTCCCGGGAGCTGGTGGACACAATCGAGATATTCTGATACTAACGTTTTTCATAAACGGAAACACAGTAAAACAACATGAGACAGAAAGGACTTACCTGAAGGGGTAAATGTTGTAGACGCCACTGGTAGTGTAGCCCATCATCAGGTAGTCTGAGCAGTCCACGGGTCTGACATACACAAAATTTTGTCAGTCATTCCAAAACAACAAGACATATTAGCTCATACATAATACTATTGGACGAGTGGAAGATGAATGTCATTTTATTTTTAATCTATTGTTGTAGCTGTCAGGATTACTTGGTATTGTTTCCACAATCTACGGATGTAGCGTAGATTTGTAAACTTCCTGTTATGCGCTTTTTAATGAAGTACAGAACAGTTATTGGCTCTGGACAGAGTTTTTTTGAGCAAAGAATGACTCGACAAGTTATTGACAGCCAATGACTGTTCATTGAACTGCTATTAACAAGACACCAAACAAATAGTAACTATACACACGGTGTTACTGTGTCACACCACCCCAGCCTGTGGATGACACTGTCACATCACCCTAGCCTGTGGATGACACTGTCACACCACCCCAGGCTGTGGATGACACTGTCACACCACCCCAGGCTGTGGATGACACTGTCACACCACCCCAGCCTGTGGATGACACTGTCACACCACCCTAGGATGTGAATGACACTGTCACACCACCCCAGCCTGTCGATGACACTGTCACACCACCCCAGCCTGTGGATGACACTGTCACACCACCCCAGCCTGTGGATGACACTGTAACACCACCCCAGGGTGTGGATGACACTGTCACACCACCCCAGGCTGTGGATGACACTGTCATACCACCCCAGGCTGTGGATGACACTGTCACACCACCCCAGCCTGTGGATGACACTGTAACACCACCCCAGGGTGTGGATGGCACTTTGTCACACCATCCCAGGCTGTGGATGACGCAACACCACCCCAGCCTGTGGATGACACTGTAACACCACCCCAGGGTGTGGATGACACTGTCACACCACCCCAGCCTGTGGATGGCACTTTGTCACACCATCCCAGGCTGTGGATGACACTTGTCACACCGCCCCAGGCTGTGGATGGCACTTTGTCACACCACCCCAGGCTGTGGATGACACTTTGTCACACCACCCCAGGCTGTGGATGACACTTGTCACACCACCCCAGGCTGTGGATGACACTTTGTCACACCACCCCAGCCTGTGGATGGCACTGTCACACCACCCAGGCTGTGGATGACACTTTGTCACACCACCCCAGGCTGTGGATGACACTTTGTCACACCACCCCAGGCTGTGGATGACACTTTGTCACACCACCCCAGGCTGTGGATGACACTTTGTCACACCACCCAGGCTGTGGATGACACTTTGTCACACCACCCCAGGCTGTGGAGCACACTTTGTCACACCACCCCAGGCTGTGGATGACACTTGTCACACCACCCCAGGCTGTGGATGACACTGTAACACCACCCCAGCCTGTGGATGACACTTTGTCACACCACCCCAGGCTGTGGATGACACTGTCACCACCCCAGGCTGTGGATGACACTTTGTCACCCACCCAGGCTGTGGAGGACACTTTGTCACACCACCCAGGCTGTGGAGGACACTTTGTCACACCACCCCAGGCTGTGGAGGACACTGTAACACCACCCCAGGCTGTGGAGGACACTGTCACACCACCCCAGCCTGTGGAGGACACTTCCACCACCCCAGGCTGTGGAGGACACTTTGTCACACCACCCCAGCCTGTGGAGGACACTGTAACACCACCCCAGGCTGTGGAGGACACTTTGTCACACCACCCCAGGCTGTGGAGGACACTGTGCGCTGTTGGTGATGATTTTATGTGTTAGGCAGCTAGTGTGTCGGAGAGTTGGTGTGTTGGACAGTTGACATGTTGTCTAGAGCATATGTTGAGATTTAGTGTGTTGGATTGTGGGTGTACGGCTGAGTCAATAAATTAATGATATCGTGTATCGGAGAGCTGGTGTGCAGGTGTGATGGAGAATTTGTATGTTTGATAGTTTGTGTGCGGGTGTGCTTGTGTGCTTGAAAGATGGTGTGTGAGAGAAACGCCTCCTGTTGGTGTGCTGAAGTATTGGGGCTTTGGTTGTGTGCGGTTATTCTTGGGTTTATTATTGATATTTTCTTTGAGTTAGAAGACGTGAGTGTGTGTGTGTACGTGCGTGTGTATATATTTGTGTGTGTATGCGTGTTTATATGTGTGTGCGTGTGTATATATTTGTGTGTGTGTGTGTGTGTGTGTGTGTGTGTGTGTGTGTGTGTGTACCAACCTGAGGGTTTGGGCGTAGAGGTGCTGCTGCTCGGGTGGAGGATGGAGGAGGGTGGTCACGCCCTGGTAGATGCTTCTCCGGGAGGTCAAGCTGGAGAAGGATGGTACACCAGTTCACAGGTCAGTTATTATGAGGGATCCCTAACACGAGGTCAGCAAGACTGCCCGTGTGATCATAATGTAGTCATGTTTTTGAGCAAGGAAAGGATAAATCAGGAAGTTAATATAGAGTGCATCAATTATTAAGCCGAATATAAACGAATGTACAAACATTAGTTGTTAAAAAGAAAATTATACAAAATCTAATAAATTAATTAATTTACATTATATGATTTCCGGTATAGAGACCAAAGGTAGTAGAAAATAAGGCAATGTAGCACAGTGTACTTAATATATATATATATATATATATATATATATATATATATATATATATATATATATATATATATATACTTCATTTTTAGTGAGGTCGTTGATTATATATATATATATATATATATATATATATATATATATATATATATATATATATATATATATATATATATATATATATATATATATATATATATATATATATATATATATATATATATATATATATATATATATATATTTTGTTACGACTGTGTCGTATTTTTTCTATTTTTTTTATATGTAACTTGCTCCCATGTTGTTCCATATTATTCCTGTAATGATGTGTTAAATTTACTATTATATATTCTAGTCACCTTACCCTGTGCTGTTAAGGTTTTAACTGTCATTATTTGTTCAAGCCCATCTTATTTCTTTATTTTGTATTGTAACCAGAATTCTTTGTTCTCTAACGACCATCTGCATCGTTAAACGACCCACCGGCGGGTCGCGTGGCGGGAGCCGACCTTATATATAGGACCCACCAACTGACGGAGTTAGTTCAGTCCTCTTGTCATACAGTCCACATCCTTTGAGTGACACTCGTCACCTGTTACTTATACTTAAATTATTTGTGTTGTTCCTGTCGCCACCAATGTGGTATATCTATGTGAGTACCTATTTATGTCTCTATTTATGTCCATCAGTATTTGTTTCGTTACATTTAAGTAATTCAGTGTTGTTTCACGTTAGTTAATTTCAGTGTTAGGTTTTATGTTTATGCAGTGTTAACGTAATCCAATGCTTTATTTTTATTCTTTTGATGTTTCGATGTTTAGTATCATTTGTGTCTTAAAAGTTTCGATGGTGAATCAATTTGTTGTGACAGCCTACGAGGCTCTTTATTGTGTTAATATTTAATTAATTAAATTCTTAAAGGTTTACTTTATTTATTTTTATTCCCTTTTAATTTACTTCACTTTTTTTGTTTGGTTACGCCTAGAACCTGGATATTTAAGTAAATTAAGAGAAGGCCTAACAATATATATATATATATATATATATATGTATATATATATATGTATATATATATATATATATATATATATATATATATATATATATATATATATATATATATATATATATATATATATATATATATATATATATATATATATATATATATATATATGTATTTATTTATATTTATTTATTTATATATATTTATTTATATATATTTATTTATGTTTATTTATATTTATTTATTTATATATATTTATTTATATATATTTATTTATATATATTTATTTATTTATATATATTTATTTATTTATATATATTTATTTATTTATATATATTTATTTATATATATGTATATTTATATATATATATATATATATATATATATATATATATATATATATATATATATATATATATATATATATATATATATATACTATATATATATATATATATATATATATATATATATATATATATATATCTTCTATATATCTATATATATATATATATATATCTATCTATCTATATATATCTATCATATATATATATATATATATATATATATATATATATATATATATATATATATATATATATATATATATATATCTATATCTATATATATATCTATATATATATATATATATATATATATATATATATATATATATATATATATATATATATATATATATATATATATATATATATATATATATATATATCTATATCTCTATATCTATATCTATATCCTTTGATTCTTTAATAGTTTCCATACTAATTATGATATAAAGCCATAACCATGTGTAAACGATCGAGCAACTAACAAAGTTTATTATTTATCGGTTAGCTTGACTACTGACTAATTGATTGACGCCTAATCTTACTGATATCGTAATTTATGCTTGCTTCAGGTTGTGTCTGTGCATGGAAACCCAATTATTACAACTGCACACGAGAAGACACAATACTTCGAATACTTTATTGAATACAAATCCGTTACCCAAACTCAGTGGAACTTCTGCACAACATACGGAAAGGATTCCCCATCAAAAACAGTACTATAATCGAGACTGGTACAGAAAGTTTAAAGAAACCGAAAGTGTCCTACACAAGAAAGGGTATGGTCGTCAAAACATCCCTAATGATATGGTCGAGAGGATACAAGCGTCTTTTGCATGCAGCCCCCGAAAATCGATCAGGAGACCTACAGGTTCCACCCACAACTGTGCTCAAAGTTTTACACAACAGACTTAAGCTGTTGTTAATCAATCAGTCAGTAGTCAAGCAAATCGATTAATAATAAAGCTTTGATACTTGCTCTATTGTTCACACGTGGTTCTATCTTTATGGTTTGATTAGTATGGAAAATATTTAAGAATTAATTCAGTGTGTAGTCGGTGTGTTGTAATACATGTGTGCTGTGTTTACCACTCGCTCGGGATGTAGACTTACATGGCCTGGGTGGTCCTGGGGACTCTGAGGTGTGGCGGGGAACTCTCCAGCTCAGTGATTTGCTCTATCAGGCGGGTCTTTTCCTGATAGAGGCTGGCCAGCTGAAACGTGCAGCGGGCGTCCTTCACCATCAGCTCTGAAGAGCAAGTAGGAAGTTAGCAGGACAGAACGATAAAAGCATATATTTAATAGTTGTTTTGTGTGTGTGTGTGTGTGTGTGTGTGTTTTACAGAAAATCTGTGTAACCATGATTTCACATTATCCCGAAAATGCTGAGGGATTCTATAATATGTTGAGGATAACCTAACAATTAACTTCAACATGTTGCAGATTAGGTAAAGTCTTTAGTTATACGGAATCCCTGTAGCATATAATATACCTGGTATATATATATGTATTTGGATATACTTTGAAGTAATGTATATAGCAGTTACTTACAGTCTAGTTTATAATAATGTATCCTGCATCTGTGTACAATTTACCTGGTATTTACTATTAGATAAGAACATAAGAATGGAAGAAACTGCAGCGGGCCTATTGACCAAACCTATATTTGAAGCTATCCAACGTATTCGATTTAATGATGATGTTCGATAACTTGTTCCACCCATCCACTATATTTCCAAACCAATGTTTAACTATTTCGCACCTAAATCTAAATTTGTCTAACTTAAAACCATTGCTACGAGATCGCTCCTGGTTGGATAGTTTGAGTACCTTTATTATATCACCTTTGTTTTTCCCTGACTTCCATTTATAAACCTCGATCATAGCGCCCCTCACTCTATGTCTCGAGGGAGTGCAAATTAAGATGCTTTAATCTGTCTCTGTACTCAAGGTTCCTAAAGCCCGGGATTAGTCTTCTCATGCTCCTCTGAATTCTTTATAACAGATTCTATATCCATTCTGTAGTATGGTGACCAAAACTGAACCGCTTAATCCAAGTGAGGTCTCACAAGTGCAAGATATAGTTTTATGATAACCTCGCTAGCCTTGTAACTATTACTCCATTGTATGAACCCAAGTAGTAGTAGTAGTAGTTGGCAGCTACCAAACAGGGAGGTACTACCTCCTGGGAAGATATTGGAAGCATAATGTGTTGTCTAATGGTAGACCCTGCTGCCATATGGCATCACGAAAATTGTGACCAAGTCCCAGGTCACTGATCTGAATTTCTGCCTCATTTACACACAAGTTCTGGGTCTCAATTGTTTCTCTTCCTTTGACAACACAGAATACATATATTGTTTCTCACTCATGATCTTTTTTTTCAAAATTTTCTGTCCTTATTATTATTATTATTATTATTATTATTATTATTATTATTATTATTATTATTATTATTATTATTTCATTCTTTTTTATTTCTTATATATTATGAATTATTATTATTGTTATTATTATTTTTATTTTTATTTTTATTTTTATTATTATTTTTTTTATTATTATTATTTTTATTATTATTATTTTTATTATTATTATTTTTATTATTATTTTTATTATTATAACCCCCTCCCCCCCAGACCCTGATGTGGGTCAGTGACCTGTGCCCAGGGGGGGCTAATCCCATTAAAAACAAAACAAATGGTTAGACTTGTTTCGAGAAAATACCCATTGTTGTCGTGGTTTAAGATTTCTACTATCATTACTCCTAAGTCTTTCTCACAGTCGGATTTCTATATAACAACGTTGTTCATCTGGTAACTGGTTTCTCTGTTTACATCTCCTAGACTAAGTACTTTACATTTGTCCACATTAAATTTTATCTGCCATTTTTCAGACCATGCGAAAAATTTGTTTAGACCTTCTTGTAATTTTGCCGACTCGTCGTCAGATTTAATTACGCGCCCCATTTTAGTGTCGTCAGCAAATTTACTTATGTTGCTGTCTACGCCAATATCTATGTCGTTTATATATATATATATATATATATATATATATATATATATATATATATATATATATATATATATATATATATATATATATATATATATATATATATATATATATATATATATATATATATATATATATATATAATAAATAGTAATGGGGATCTTCACTAATGACGCTCCCCAATCAGATTTAGTGCTGTTAATGTCTACTCGCTGTTTCATGTCCTGTAACCACGCCCTAATCCATTTTTTAATATCTTCTCCAATTGAGAGTTTCCACTTTTCGTATTAGTCTTTCGTGGGGGAGTCTGTCGAAGGTTTTGCTAAAGTCGAGGTATACCACTTCATAAACGTGCCCGTCATCCACTGATTCAAAAACGGATGAAAAGAATGTTAATAGATTTGTCAGACATGAACGCCCACTTCTGAAGCCATGTTGGGAATCATTGATCAACAAGTGCTTCTCGAGGTGATTTTGAATAGAGTTTTAAATTATTGCTTCCAGCAATTTGTCAACAACTGATGTTTAACTGATTGGACGGTAGTTAGAGGTTAGTAACCTATTTCCCTTCTTGTAAATCGGTATTACATTTGCTATCCTCCAGGATTCTGGTACTACACCCTTGTTTAAGGACATGTTAAACAAATTTGCTGAGCTCTTCCTTACATTAATACTCTGGCAAATATCCCATCGGGAATTGGTGACTTATTAGGCTTTAGTTTGTCAATTTGTTTATTTTCATCGTTGCTGGTCACTCTTATCTCACTCATTCTATTTTCTTCACTATCTCTGTATATAGTCGGTGCCTCGGGTGTCATGTTTAAATTTTCAGTGGTGAAAACTGTTCGAAAAATCTGTTCAGATTATTGCTCATTTCTCCGTCGTTACCCGTTAGGTCGCCAGTATATGACTGGATTGGTCCAATTTTATCTAGTGTTTAGTTTGATACATTTGGAAGAATCCCTTGGGGTTTGACTTCGCCTCCTTGCTACATTCAGTTCATTAGTTCCCTTTGCTTTTCTTATCTCGGTCTTTTCCTTACTAGCCATTAGCTTTAATCTCGGAGGTAAACTTCACGATTTATTCTCCTACCTATAGCCTTCCTTTATCCAATAATATTCCCAAGGTCTAAGAATAACGGTATATATGCCCATCTCTGCCCTGTGGTACAGTACAGGGAAGAAGGTAATATCTGCTTGAGTGATACACTATAGCAGTGGTGCACATAAGTATAGCTATGTGTTGAATGGGATATACAGATTAATTTATATATATATATATATATATATATATATATATATATATATATATATATATATATATATATATATATATATATATATATATATATGTGTGTGTGTGTGTGTTTGTTTTTACGGGGAATAGCTCACCCAGGCACATGTCGATGACCCACAACGGGGCTAAGTGGGGGGGGGGGTGGAAATAAGAGGAAAAAGAAATTAAAAATAGAAAATAATTTTTGTTTTCATTAATCTATACTACGAAAATGCCGGAAAACCAGCTTTTTGAAGTGAGACATTGTGTGAGTATGGAAACACAGAAGAAGGCAGACCATTCCACAATTTGGCTGTCTGAGGAAAGGAGGATGTACTATAACGGGTGACCGACATCCACAGAGAAACGGTGGGCACCGCGGGCAAGACGAGTGTTACGAGCCCACGGCCTTGCCGGCGGTAAACAGGATACCAAATCAATCGAACATTAATCGTTAAAGTACCTGTAAAGGAGATAGAGCGAAGCAACATTGCGGCGAAGAGAAAAGGAAGAAAGATTATCAACTAAAGGAGGTGAGTTAATAAGACGAAATGCCTTTGATTCCACCCTATCTAACAGTTGGACAGAAGAAGGGTCACCCCAGATATGAGAGCAGTACTCCAAGTTAGGACGAATGAATCTCGTATATATTTAAAGCAACTGCTCAGGAGTGAAGTAGCTACGGCTTCTGTACATCATTCCCAGCTTTCGGGAGGCAGCTTTAGCAATGTTGAGGATGTGTGGCTTCCATGACATATTAGTGGAAATGGTGAGACCTAGCATATCTATTTTAGAATTTGGCAGAAGGATTGCGTTCTGGAATGTGATTGGTGGGAGATCATCCAATTTGGAAAGTGTAATTGGTTAATACTGAGCTTTATTACTATTGAATTTAACCATGTTTCAACCTCCCCATTCGGAGATGCTGCACAGATCCGCATTGATAGATGAAATATTACCAGCTCTAGAAATGGATCTAGTTTGAGAGTTAGGGGGAAGGGGAAATGTGAAGAAGAGCGAAGAGTAGAATCGTCAGCGTAAGGATGGATAGAATTAGTCGTAGTGTGAAGTAAATCATTGATAACAAGAAGGAAGAGAGTAGGTGAGAGAACGGAACCCTGTGGGACACCACTATTGGTAGAGAAGGAGCAAGAGATCGATACCTCGACATCAACTGCCATGGATCGGTTCTCAATGAAGCTACAAATTAGAGAAGAAAGTGGGGGAGAGAAACCATAAGAGGGAAATTTGGAAAGCAAAAACTTGTACTATTCCCTGTTAAATGCTTTGGAGATGTAGAGAGCCATGACGAAAGTTTCCCCATAATCCCTTAGAGATGATGACCAATGATGGGTGCAGTAGGAGAGCAGATCATTTGTAGATCCCGCCTGGCAAAAGCCTTATTGGTGATCCGACAATAGAGAATGAAGTTCAAGGTGACGGAGAAAATGAGAGCTTAAGAGAGTTTCAAAAATCTTAGAGAGGGATGAAGTTAGGGCAATGGGGCGATAGTAAGAGGGATTACGATGGTCACCCTTTTTCGGGATGGGCTGAGCCTAGGCATGCTTCCAAGAAGAAGGAAAAGTTTGGGTTTTGACGCAAAGGCGAAAGAGGCGAGCAAGCACAGGGGCCAGAGCTTCAGCATACTCCCTCAGAACAAGAGGGGGTATTCCGTCTGGTCTATGCGCCTTACTCACATCCAACCTGGACAACACACCAGGATATAACCTATTTAAATTTGAC